AAATTCTCTGTAATGCAGTATTACTCATTGGACATATGTATGGCTGTTATTGGGATCTTTTATTAGTCATAATATACTTACAAACTCATATATACAAATTATTGGAATACCTGTTTTTTGTTTTTTTTTGTTTATTTTATTTTATTTTTAAAATTTTTGCTCCATGTCTGTTTATAAGATGCTTGTTATTAGGACAATTTTTACCATTTGCTTGAGAAACTCTTTTTGGAAACACAAGGGGCTCAATTGTCAAAGCGCAATAAGTAGAAAGAGTTAAGAGGTTGCCGTTGGTTAAGTTAGTCATAGTGCTAGCTTGCAATGGCTTTAATGAATTTTGATTATGTTTCTCTACTACAATAAACGAGTAAATATGATTGCGTATCACCTAAATGCCTGGTTAGAGATACAGTTTCGTGTCCAATAGCATATTGTTTAGGAGATTTTGTAAGGAAATTTGTGTAGAATATGACTATAATAGTCATATGTATAACAGAATAATTATATATGTAGTCAGTGAGAAAATAATGTGATCCATTACTATATAGTGTAGATACATGATAGTTGCAGGGCCCTTCTATAGACTGATACTTGGGTACAATTCAAGTTACAATTTTCATTTGGAATGTAGAAACATAACAAGTGCTAATCTCTCTAATTAACTGGTTGTTGCCTTTAGACTGCTAGCTTTGAATTGTCGGTAGAAAAAAAAATTGTTTGATTACTATTTAGTGAAGAGATGTTATAGCTGCAGTGCCCTTGGTATATAATTAGACTGATCCCTGGGTACAATTCAAGTTTCAATTTTCATTTGGGACAATTAATTAGATGCTAATCTCCCTAATTAATTGGTTGTTGCCTTTTGACTGCTAGGTTTGATTTGTGGCTAAATAGCCCCCACACCAGAGGAGAAAAATTCCACAAGAATAGCCAGGTGCAGGCCAACATGTTGCAACTAAAACAAATCTTCTTTCCGACACTTCAATTATAAATATAGTTTCTTTGTTGCGTTTTCTCTCCACTTCGTGATTGTGAAAAGAAATTATTGACCATGAAAGACNTTCAATCCCCCAATCTTTTAAGAAATCATACACTATGTTTGACAAAAGAGCCCCCGAGTGTGGAGGAGGAACATGGCAAAAATTCAGAATTATACTTTGTAACTCTCAGTTCTCATCAACATAGTGAGCCGTTAAAGAAATATACCCATCAGTAGTACAAGAACTCCAAATATCAGAAGCCAAGCATATTCTACCCGAAACCCTCTCTAAAGCAAGCTTAATCCTTTCCTTCTCCCTGTAATATATCTTTAAGCAATCCGCCTTAGCGGTGTTCCTGGTATAATGCTTAACTTCATGATTCAAATACATGTGGACATCCTTAATTCCTTCATGCTCAACTATTGAATATGGGTAATTATGTTTTATGATTCCTATTGCCATTTTCTCACGATAAATTTCTTGAGAAATCTTCAAACGTCTCAATTTAGTATCACAATCCATCATCATTTGATCTACACTACTAGTAATGGTACGTTTAGGATAACCTTCCATATGGCGCCTCATATTCTTAGTCACATGACTGGAACTACCATGTGCATAAGACTTACCACAAATTATACACTTTGCCCTTACCTCTCCATTATCTTCTACATATATTGTAAATTGACCCCAAACATCTGAAATTTTACGTCTTTTTAGACAAACAATATTACCAGTAGAAGGAAGTTGACCTACGACTACATTACGACCTGTTCCTAAATCTGTAGACTCCTTCATACCAAGTCAATCTAAAAGACACAACAAAATAGTTACATTTAAATTAATTAACCAATCATAATTCATAACAATTCGTCCAAAAAAAATAAAAACACTCCCATATATTTTACAAGCAAACCAGCCCTACTAAATGACTGGATTTTTCCAGCTCAACAATCAACACCCCTCAACTCCAATAAGTATAACCAATCATAATTCATCCAAAAAAAAAAAAAAAAAAATTTATAATGTGGTATATGCTTTGAAATTGTGAATCATCATTATTTGAGTCAAAAGAAAATAAATATTTGAGCAAGGGCCAATATTAGGGGCCAAAATTTATTTTCAAAACTTTTTAAGCCTCCCTCACGTCACGTTTTTAAGTAGTCAATTTTCAACTTCCTAATTGGCTGGTGTGAGTGTTTTTTTTAAAAAAAAAAAAAAAAATTAATAACGAGTTTTGTCTTCTCTAGTTTTAATTCAATTGAATCATGTTAATTGGAAAAAAATAAAAGTTACGGACATGAAAGACTCCCTAGTGTACAACAACTCAAGTTACTCAACAAGTTAACAATATGGGATATCCACCCCTGATTCCATGCTTTATAACTTTAATAACAAATTGGATTCTATTAAAAAACACCCTACGCTACATGTCGTGCTGCTGCTGCCTTGCCGTGCTGCTACTCCCCTGCTGCTACCGTGAGAGAAGAGATATGCTGCTACCGTGAGAGAAGACACCTGCTGCTGCAATGAGAGAAGACACTTGCTGCTGTCGTGACCTGATTGTTGTGCTACCATGAGAGAATGAGCTGTCGTGACCTGACTGCTGCTGTTGCTGCCGTGAGAGAATGAGCTGCTGTGAGAGAATGAGATGTGCTGTCGTGAGAGAATGAGTTGTCATGACCTAACTGCTGCTGCTGTGAGAGAATGAGCTGTCATGACCTCCTGCTGCTGGCGCCTGCTGCTGTCGTGAGAGAATGAGGGAGTGGAGCTGCTGTGAGAGTGAGAGAGTGAGGGAGTGGAGCTGCTGTGAGAGGAGTGGTCGTGGAGCTGCTATGAGAGGAATGGTCATGGAGCTGTTGTGGTCTGTGAGAGAAGAGAATGAGCTGCCGCGTTGTTTGTTTTTTTCACTGATAAGTTTTGGTTTAGATTAGGGTTTGAGAGTGAGTCTTTGAGAGTGATAAGTTTTTTCAATGAATGATTAAAATTTTTTTTTTTTTAATTTCAAACTTGCGGGTCCGTAGGTAGTACCCGGTCTACCTGCAAAAGTCACGGGCGGGCCAGGTATGGGTTAGATTCCCACGGGTCGATAGGTGTGTTACCCGTACCCGCCCGTTGGGTACGGGTACCCGTTGCCCCGTAGGTACGGGTGGGTATTTGCCAGGTCTACTACCAATATGTTCAAACCCAAATGTTAGACCTTTTGTAAAATTTAGAAGTTAAATTGGGTTAGGTCAAAGGCAAAAATAAATGTTTTTATTTAGACATAATCTAATTTTGTTTTCTAAAAAACNCATTAATATGATTTTAAATTTTTTATGGTATTGTTTCTATCCTTTTTGTTGTATTATTATATTTTAATTATGGCTATTATAATATCAATAAATTAGGATACTCATTTTGAAGAAATAGAAGATACAAGAAGTGCAGAGGAGGAATGGGAGCCTAAGCCTGGAATGATTTTTGATTCACTTGATAATCTTGTCCAACACTACAAAAGCTATGGGAATAAAATGAGTTTCAAAGTTATTATACGATCTTCAAAGAAAGGATATGATAGAAAGGTGAAAAACGCGACACTGGCTTGTTCTTGTATTGGGAAGTCGCGCAGTAACCCCATAAATGCTTTTAAAATGCATCCAGTGACAAAAACCAATTGTAAGGCTCGAATTGGTGCAGTTGTATGTTCTGATGGCAAATGAAAAATATGTTCAATTGTGTTTGATCATAACCATGAACTTAGTAGTCCTACCAAAAGTAGATATTTTAGAAGCAATCGAATTATACAACCGTACGTAAAAAGAAAGCTTGAAGTGAATGATAGGGCTGGGATTAGGCCAAAAAAAAATTTCAATTCCTTGTTAGTTGAAGCAGGCGGTGCTAAGAATTTGCCTTTCCTACATAAAGATTGTAGGAACTATATTGAAAAAGTTAGGAGGTTATGATTTGGTGTTGGAAATGCTTCTGCAATCCAAAAATATTTTTTGAAAATGCAAAATGAGAATTCTAATTTCTTCTGCATAATGGATTTAGATGAAAAAGGTCGATTAAAGAATGTTTTATGGGTGGATGCAAGAAGTAGGGTTGCATTTAAAGAGTTCCGTGATGTTGTAACGTTTGACATTACATATTTGACCAACAAGTATGATATGCCGTTTGGTGCTTTTGTTGGTGTTGATCATCATGGTCATTCGATACTGTTAGGTTGTGGGTTAATCTCCAACGAGAACACAAAGACATTTGTATGGCTTTTTCAATCTTGGCTTGCATGTATGTTGAATTGCACTCCTAAAGCAATAATCACTGATTAAGATAAGGCAATGCAAAATGCAATTGAGATTGTGTTCCTTGGTACACGACATAGATGGTGTTTGTGGCATATAATGAAGAAATTGCTTGAAAAATTTAGAGGTTATAGTCAATATGAACATATTAATATAAGTTTTTTTTTTTTGCAAAATGTCGTGTATGATTCATTGACATGTAAGGAGTTTGAAGAACGTTGGAATATGTTTATTAATAAATACAACCTTCACAACAATGATTGGTTGCTTGGATTGTATAATGAAAGACAACGTTGGGTGCCGACTTTTGTAAAAGATACTTTTTGGGCAGATATGTCTACTACTCAACGCAGTGAAAGTATGCATGCATTCTTTGATGGATATGTTAATTCAAAAACCACTTTAAAACAGTTTGTGGAACAATATGAGAATGCATTGC